AGAGGGTGTAATAACTTCAGGAAAAATGCTCCCGAGAGTTAAATGTAGCTAAGGCCAAAACACTTTATAAAGCTGTAATGTGAGGGAAGGCAGGGAGACGATTTTACCAGGAGAGGTCCAAATGGCATGTTAATCAAGTTGAGCCAAGAATCTTAGCAATGTAATTAAACAAAAAGAAAGAACTATTTAAGTTCAGAGGTATGCTTATGAACTAAAATATAACCCACAAAATAAAGTCAACTGAAGTGTCTAATATGAAGTACATACACATCACATTATTAAACTTCAGTACTAAACCAATTTTCCAATTTATTATTGGGTTTGCTGGTTTTAAATTTAATTTTTGATTAAATCTCCTGTTCATGCTTTTGGAGATAGAAAAGTTTCGTGATGAATTTAAAGCATATTGGATATCAGGCAATTTGAAAAGCGGATGAGAGTCCAGTGTGTTTAGCAAAGGGAAAAAAGAAGCAGAAAAGAAGAGGGGAAAAGTTAAAATTTTACCTTGGACATTAAAGATAGTTATGCCCTGCAATGTATTTGGCATATATTTCCCCCTCTGATCAAGATACGGGGAATTGAGATATGGCTAACTAAAAGCTGCTATTCTTTTACAATTTGTATCCTTTTTCAGTGGTTTTGTATATAAATAATGACTTTATATTAATCCTGTTGTTCTTCTAGTTTGGGTTTGCTTTTTTTTTGTGAGGGGCAAATGCAGTTTTTGGCACAGATTCATGCTGACGCAGTAAGCAATGCAATAGAGGCCTCAAAGAAATACAGGCAACTCTTAAACTTGTTCAGGTATACCTAAATCAGAAGAGCAGGACAGAAGGCTCATTACTGAACGTCTATTTTGTCAATTTTAAATTACTTTGTTCTTCCCAAATCCGAGGCCATCAGATCCCAATCTTATCTCAGCATGGCACAAAGCGATGGAGGCTTCTCCTTTTTTACGCTTTGCTGCCTTCGTGCCCTCTTTTCCCACCACGGCTTTTCAGGAAAGGTTTGGGCAGGTTGGGCGGTGTCACGCAGAGCCTGGGGATCCTCCCGGGTTTCTGTTGTGCCGCGGTGATGGGGTCCCTCCTGGTATCCATCCCATCCTGAATCCTACCTAACAAGATACCATTTATGACTTCTGTAAAAGCGTTGAAGTGAAGACCGACCAACTTCAATTGCACATCGCTGTGACGGTTACAGAAAGATACCGTGTGAATGAACAAAACATTGGTATAGAAATACATTTATTTTGCCGTGGTCAAAAAGGTGCTTGTGCAAAGGACAGCGTTCGGGGGGAAAGATTAAGATTATGGGTAGCCTGAGTTGCAGCTGAGGTGGCTAAAGCACATGTTAATGGCTCTTTATTCCATTTCACCCTAATATTTATGGGGTGCAAGTGGATCATCACGTTAATGCAGAGGGCCTTCTCACATTCGGTGGCGGTACATATGTGCGTACCCATGCATGCCAGTATTGGGGGAGAATAGTAGGAATCACGTATTTGACAAGGTATTTTCTTCAGAAGCTCCGAAAGTAAGCATTTCATTTAAAGTATTTCAGATAAGTCAGCGCTGGACTGGAAGGCAGTGGCGTGCCAGTCCCACGCAGGTGACGGTGGCAGAAACGTCCCGCGGGTGCGGTCGGAGCCTGTGGCTGGCAGGGTAGTGACTGTACTGGCAGCTGCCCTCGGAGGCTCGGTAAGGTGTCGCAAACGTTATCAGACAAAAATGCCTTCAGACGCTCTGATCCCAATCGTGGGTTGAAGTCCTGGCAGTACCCTTCCCTGGCGCCATGCTGTCGTTTGCTAAGCCTCCTCTGGGTGGCTGGGACTGCTTCGCTTGTGTCACGTCGTCTCACAGAAGTAACCGGCCTTTATCATCCAGTAATGCGAAACTATTGCATAAAAATGCCCTTGCCTGTCCCCTAAAATGGCCTCAAATAGTATGTCTACCACTTACCCCAAAAAGCCCACTGTTGTACATCTTAATCATCCCAAAATTGGAAAATAATGAACTTATCCCTAAAGAAAGCTTATTAGAGCTTGTAGCACAGGGTAAAGAACAGTGTATTGTCAGCTGAATACCTTTGTCTTTTGCCCGCTCACTTCTCTACAACTCAGCAAAGTGATCTTAAGAGACCAGCTGTATGTTTTAATTCAGCTGATGCATTGCTCACGCTGAACCTGATCACCTTAGTTACATCAGGGAAATGAAATCAATACAATTACTGTGGCGTTGCCTGCCCGCTCCCTCTGCGGCCCCTCCTAGCAAACACAAAAGCCGCTTGCTAATTGATACTGATTTATCAATTCGTTGAATTCAGCGGTGTCAGAGGGGACGTTACAAGGCCATTTCCATTAAAAGACTATACTGAAAGTGTGCTTCAGGTGACATGTGCGTTTTGCGTATACACAGGCATGAGGTTTTTCGTTCAAATTACGTGCCTTCAGGAGAAAAGGAAAACAAAGCCGTACATAATGCAACGTAAAAAGGATCTTTATTTTCCTTGCTGGCCTGCATCTCTGACCTCATCAAAAGAGCTACCGCTTGAAATGCTTGCAGATTTGACAGACTTTTTTCCCCATCTCCAGCATTAACCTTGGCATTTGTAAAATGCACATTAATAAGCATTTTATAGCGCTAGTTTTGCAGCTTAATAAATCGGGTCGCAATAATGAATTTTATTTCTACTGCTGATAGCACGCTTGAGGCAGAAGGGTGGGAGCCAGAGTGATCTGCTCTGTGCATGTGTGTTTGAGTAAAAGTGAGCTTACCATCATCTTTTTCTGCAAAAAAATCGGGAGGTCAGCATTTCAGTGCAGTCACTATTGCATGATCCAGTGTGGCTCAGCCTGGAACAACATTTTCGCCCCATTATTTGAACAGTGGGAAGGGCTAAGGATGCTCAGAAGAACTGATACCTCGCCATGCTAAGTGAGATACAGTGTTTTAGTTTCAGGCAGACTGGGCCTGCCACAGGAACCAAGTAAAATTTTAAAGTAAAATTTTATTTTATAAATGTTTTTTGAAATATTAAATAAAATATTATTTAAATTGCAAAACAAGTAAATAAAGCAACGGACGATGTTACAAGAAGGGAAGGAAGAGTGCATCTTTGCCCGATGGGCCATGGATACGGTTTGCCTTTGGCATCTTTTTTACAGGTGGTGTAACCTGGAGCTTGAGCAGTCAAGCCAGCACCACAGTGCCATGAATTGGATTAAGCCGAGCACAAGAACTCGGGAAGAGCATGAGAAGTATAACCCCTAGGGCAAAGGAAGGGAGTAGTCAGAGAATCTAGGGTCCGGGTGAAGGCAGCCTGAATAGCAACTTGAGGGAAGAGGCAGAAGTGTAGGTGAACTTCTGAGCGACGTTCATCTAGGCAGAAGGCGGTTGCTGCAGAAAGCCGCAAAGCAGGAAGACAAGTACACCATCTCCAGGGCGAGAGGTCGTGTAACAGGCATCGTCACCCAAACTACCCAGGTCTCTTTTGTTTGTTTGTTTTTAAACAATAATTAATAATTTACCCGCTGAAATTTTTAAACTTCGTTCTGTATATTCAGTGTCATTATCTAGAACTTTTTCAAAAGTTCCAAAGAAAATGTTTGTAAGACACAGATCAAAGGGAGATTGTTGATCTCTTGGTGCTTGTGGGCAACGGTTTGGGTTCAATAGTTAGGATTGCAACCCGGGGTTCTAGCTTTCTGCACTTGGAATGGGAAAACATGGTGTAGGGTAGAATATCTGAAAAATACCTAGAGGATGAAAGAGGAAAGTCATAAAATATTCTCTGAAACAAAGGCAGGTGTAGATTCTGTCTAGAATTTTGAAGACCAGTGCGCAACTGAAATACTCCTTAAAGTCTACTCCTGGTTTAGGAGCCTGTCTCAACATATCCTTATCTGTCTTTCAGTTTATTATATACCGAATGAGCGTAATTTTTTTAAATAGTAAATATCTGAATAGTCTTTAATAAAGATGCAGCTGCATTTAGGGATGAGTGCAGACATTTCCTTTCAAATTTATTTGTTCACTAGCACGAATAGTTTTAAGCATTAATTCACCCTTTACTTGCTGTGATGAAAATCTGAACATTTGGTTTGAGTAGCTCAAGAGTCTCACTTCTCCTTGTTGAAATTGTTTAGATTGCGGTTTTAAATACATTAGCACAGAGTCTTTGTTCATTCTGAAGTAGTTACTGTTTCCTTGAGAAACAGCATCTCGAAATGTTACTCCTCACATTTTCTAAAGAGTGAAATAATTCTTTGTTGCATTTCAGGAGGAAGCTCATTCTTTATACATGAGGAACCTATGCTGAATAGAAGATGCTCGGTTTTCAGCGCTTGTAGGGTATGAAGAACATGAGATACCAGTTTGTTAGTGGTGTAATGTTTTTTTTGTTCTTTACATGAATCGATGCTCTGTGATTCAGAAGCATTTACCGAATGCTTAAAAGATGTGTATGTGTAGTCAGGTTGCAGTTGATTTCCTGAAAAGCATCTTGGCTTTTAGTACCAAAATGGGTTGGCAGGAAAGTTTTTGGATCTTTCTGAAGAGTAGAAATTCCTGTGGAGGTGGCTTTGAAGTGCTCACTGTTTAAATGATAGAGGTTTACCCATGAATCAGTTTTCCTGCTTGCGTTTCTGATAGATTACTGAGTGCTCTTAGCGGAGGTGAGTATTATAAACGATCTATAATGTTCTAAATTTTACTTGCAGTTTATCAGTCTGTGGTGGTTCTTGTGTTTCTGTTATTTTCTACTCATTATTCCCTGCTTTTCCATTTCTCATGCCAAAGAACCGTTGTCTTTTTATATTGTCACCTCTTGTCAGTTAGACTAATTAGGGGTTTTTGCATTTTAATATGTCTTTCTGTAATAACAGATCATCTCGCTTTGGCAGCCTAATAGATGGATGAAACTACTAACCTGAGGAATGAGTTTCAGTAATGTGCTTTCAGGCAATTGGAAGATAACAGAAATACTTCTGTTCAATTCTGCAGACCCCCGCCGCTGAGTGAAAGTGCACCAAAAGGAACTGTGGTCACAGTTGTTACGGCGGCCGCCTTGAACCAGACAATTGTATATTCAATTGTTTCAGGAAATGAAGAGGGTAAGTACTAATATTTTGGTCTTAGTGGTTATGCTGAGCCTAGTGCGTGCATCAGAAGTCTTCAAGAAAGAGTGATTAGAAATAAAGCTGCTGAGGTGAAACCCCACCTGATCTGTACGAGCAGGAGGGACCGCCATTGTCAAGCCTTTAGAAATCAGTGAAAGATCAGATTAGTTAGCAGAATTACAATCAAAATTAAAACACAACGACATTTGCACTCGTGTTAAAATTCACATTGGTGCCACATGCTGTGAATCCATGGCATACTGAAATGAGGATATAAATACAGCTTTGATGACCTTGTACTTCTTGCTTAGAAATCTGTTTTAAGACTTTATAGTTTTTGCCATGCTATAGCCACAAGTATTAGATTAGAGCCTGTATTTAAACAAAACGTCGTTCCTGCATTTGTGTCCTTATCGAATACTCGCTATGACTCACCTTGAAATCTCTAAGCAAAATTATGCTGAATTGTTTGGGGAATTGTTGCCCATCCCATCCTCCTCTGTGAGAGTGGGCTCTTTGTCTTGTCAGCTCTTGCCAGCATGTCCTCAAGTTGGTTATTCCAGTACCTGGTCAAATTCAGCCGCTGTGCTCCTCTGAAGGCAGCCTCAGGGAGGAGTTACATGGGATTTTAGAGGCCTTGAGGGAGGGATGGGAGCCAATTTCTGAAGGCAGTGTAAGAGAATAATGTCATCCACCAAAATAGAAGCATTTAAGCATTAAAACAAAGTGTTTGTGCATCGTCGTTACTTCTGTTTTTGCTGGATTTCAGATGTGTTTGCTATTAACAACAGAACAGGCGTGATCTCAGTTAAAAAGTCTCTGGATTATGAAAGCGTGAAAAGTTACGAGCTTCGAGTCCAAGCAGACTCCTTACAAGTGGTACGATCCAACCTGCGTGTCCCTTCCAAAAGTAAGTTTAAAAATCCTTAGGTTTAAATCTCTCTTTAATATACATATGTACTGTTATTTTTTTAGGATATTGATAACTGCAGTCTAGCTAGCGACCTCGTTTTGTGACCAGAAATACAATGCTGGTGATGGTATGTGAGCAGCAGAGAGTGCATTTGTGGATCACTATGCTTGCCTTGCATACGTGGAGCTCATCAGTCTTGAGCTAAATCCTCACAAATCATGTCGATGTTACACATTTGTAGGTCTCACCGATACCAACAAAAGTCGTGTTTATATATAAACAGAGTGTTGATGGCACGAATCGAATATTTCCACTGTAATTGGAGCTTTTTGTGATGGAATGTCACAGTTACTTCTCTGAAAACACGTTACACAGCCCAAGTACAGACTTCCTTCCTGCTGGGCTGGTGACATCGCAGTGAATGTTGGGATGCTCCCGAGAGGAATGAGGAACAGATACACAGCGAGGGTGACAGGGAGAAAAAGACTCCTTCAGCACGCCTGAGGGTCTGCGAGGAGTTCATTGCAGCCCTGACTGAGAGCACACTGGAGGCAAGGACCTGCTGTGACAAAGACAAGAAGGTTGTTTGCAGCATCTCTAGGCGGGAAGGAGTTCATTTACAAACGGATTTGCTTTGGCTCTGTCTCATGGTGAGGGTGTGCTTTTTCACTTTCACGGTTTGTCTCATCCTCCCTGTAAGGAAAAGGTCTGGGAAGTCTGGCTTTCCAGCATCTGGCTCACTTAGTGTCCTGTCCCATCCTGTACAACTTCCTGTTTAAGCCACAGCTGGGCCCTTGCCAAAACAAACAAATCTTGTACCAAAAAGTGTTTTAGCACACGTTTTTACACAGACTGTGTTTGTTGTCTCAATTTTTTTTCCCTGTACTTTTGGTCTCTGTGAGTCTGTTTTTCCCTGCTGTGGCTAGGGAGCATCATGGATGCAATGGAAGTAAGCCCAGGGCTGTTGCACTGAGAAAAGGGCAGTGAGGAATTGTACATTTCTTTAAAGGCTATGAAAATACTACCTTTTTTCATTCCAAATTGAATGTAAGATTCGTTCGAGTTACTTGTTGGGCAGTCACAGTTGTTGCAGTATGAGCTGTAGGCCAGATCTGTCGCAGGTGGCTGGAACATTTTTCTCCTCTGCAATTCCACCAGTGTTAATCACAGAGCAAATCTTCAGCACTGTAAAAAAGCAGGCTCATCTTGACCAAAAACAGCCCGATGAATGAACACGTTGAGCCAACAACTTCAGCCTCTTTCACATATAAATGTCTGTCTGAGAGATGCTGCTGTACTGTCTCACCGCATTCGCCCTCGTGTGAGCTGAGGAACCCCTTGGAGGCCGGGCTTTGGGTACCTGCTGCTTACTATGTGTGCGTAAAATTTGTTCAAAAAGGGACGTCGCATTGGTAGTTTGAAACCATGAAATACAAATGGTGTTCAAATTTACTTCAGACTTCTGTTTTATGCGGATAGCCATTATTTAGTTTCTTGTCAATCAAGGGAGATGAGCAGGGGGAGATACCATAAACAAAATGGTAGTACCAGACTGTTCCTAAACATCAGTGAGATTTGGGCACTTATCAAAGTGTGTACGTAATAAAACCTTCTTACAATTTTTGGAAGCCCCCAGTAATATAATGAGCAATTGTAGCTCAGCTGCATCTTTTAAAGCATTACTGGCAGTATGGTGCTGTAGGGATTGTGCCGCCACGGACTTTGTTTTGATCTCTGTTCCCAAGGAGGTCTGCATGGCAAGCCAGGGGTAAAGAAACACCCACTGCTCATTCATCTGTCACTGATGTTAGACTGTCACCTTTCCACCTGCCCTGAGTAAGAGCTAATTCATTGTGCCTCTGTCCAGGCACGGGGAGCACTGGGAAATTAGGACTCGGAGCACAGTGTGAGCCCTTTTTTCCCCTCGCTGCAGGGAGGAGGGATCTGTGTCAGCTTTTTTGCTTTTGCTAGTCACTCTGGGCTCTTTGGCTGGCGTGTTGGCAGACAGAGAGCCGAAGTGCCATCCTGTTATTGTCAAAGGTGATGAAGTTGTTCCATGACAGACAGAGTCTTTCCCACCATGCAGGTTGTGATCCACAGAGTTAATAGTCTGAGGATTACAAAGGAAGGGCCACACTTAACTAACTGGGCTGATTCTGCTGTCCTTTTTCTATAATTGCTCTTCTACTTATTGTTCTGAGGGATACAATAATAGCCATGAATATTACAAAACCCATCTCTGATTTATTTCCCTGCCAGTTTGGTGCATATGCTGAAGAGTATTTTATGTAGATTAGAGATCAAAACTCAGATTTTTCAGGATAGTAATTTAAACAAGGTACAAGTCTGTTTCTTTTGTGTGTGTGTGTATATATACACACTACTGTATATATACATACTACTGTAGAACCTGCATGCGATACTGAAATTGGTACTTTATGAAAATTTTTTTACAGATTTTTGAAGTTCTTAAAGATATTAGACGTAATGGTCTTAAGTATTTGGGAACATGCCTTAAAAAGGGGTGGTAGACTATAGCCTGAGACATTGTACAGGGGGTGGTAGTGAAAATACATTCATCAGGCTTTGCAGCACTACCCACGTAATCAGCAGAAGATTTTTGGAAACTGAGCATGTTTTATGATGGATATTTCTTCTTCCTTAAGAAAGAATTGAGCGTGTTTGTGGTGTCAAACGCAGGGATTCTTCAGTGGTTGGAAATGGAATTGTATTAACAGCAATGTAAGGTTCTGCGTGCTGTTACAGCCACCGTCAATGATGTATCTGGAGAGGGAGAGAAAGAGAGAGCTAGTGCCAGCTGACTGCATTTCTTTGTGTCTGGGAGAGGTCCTGTTAAGGTTATAATCTGTAAAATGCGGCCAGGCCATACGCAGTGAGGACATAAGGCTTCTGTGCAGTGTACAGCTTTTTTCAAATCTTTCTTCGACACGGGTGACAGCCGAGGGAGTCAGCAGGTCCCAGCAGAGGTCTTTGGGCAGACTTCAGCGGTCAGGGAAGCAGTGGCCTCTGTATCCCTCTTCCACCTCATAGTCTGCACTAGAGCAGTTCTCCCGACTGGGCAGCCGTTTTAAAAAAGTGATAGCGGAATTATTTTATTCAGAGATACTTGATAGTGACTGGAGCTTGAATTTGGTCCGATTTAAATGAAGACATGCACCTGCTGTATGTGTTTGGAAATGGAGGCGTATATAGCATGTGCTGGATGGATAGCTGAAGAGTTTGGTAGACGTATATTTTTAAAATACTTTACAAGTATCTGGCTAACAAAATCACTTATGTCTTTGTAATGGAGATTCCTTGACCTCTAGGTTTGATTCCTACATTTGTATGATGTACGTCTTTCCATTTTCTCAGCACCTTTTTCTTTCTTGATGAGTTTTAACCAGGTTAAATACTCCTTCAGAGTTTCAGGGCACTGAATTGATGAACTACGGTGGAAGGAGATGAGACCGAATTAATGCACCACTGTGGACTTTGATGACATTGAAATGATGAACCACTTTGGACATAGGTGACTTTGAATGCACTTCTCTAGAATTATGTGACACTGAATTAATACACCGCTCTGACATTCAATGGCAATGAATTGCTGCCAGTTCCGGTGTTAGATACCACTGAATCGGTGAACCGTTCTAGAATTTGTTGGCAGCAAATTGATGACCTACTGTGGAGCTGCAATGATGAGCCCTTCTGGAGCTAGATAACACAGCACTGACGAACTGCTCAGCCACAGAACAGCGCTGAATTTAACAAAATGCAGACGCTAGGTACCAGATTGTTTTTAACTGGATGGTATCATAGAAGATAATTACATAGAAGTAGGAGTTTGAGTTTTCATCTGTGCAGTGGAAAAGTGGATCATACTGCATTAAGTGTAACTGAGCTTGGCATTCAGTGATAGTGCCAACTGATAGCATACTAATAACTGAATAAATAAATGAGAGAAAGTAAATTGAGATGTTCTTTGGAGTATGAGAACATAAAATTGGTGACTTAAACTGGGTTTTTAAAGTACGATGTTAAATCATGCAAAATCAAACTCTTACTTTCAGCGGAATCGAACTCTGTGAGTGAGTTACTTAAACTGAAACTTGATAATATGAAATTGCAGTGCATTTTTACTTCATTTGAGTGGAAGAAGAGTTAGGTTTTCTGACGATAGTGAATTTAAAAGGTTGGAATTCTGGCTTGAGGTATCAGCAACTGGTGATGCTGAGCCCTGAAAAACTTTTGGTATTAATGGATTTCTCCAATTCCGTTAAATTTAGCAGCCTGGGGTTTTTTCTGCCCGCTTTTTGCTTCTTAAATTGTCTATCACAATAGAACATAGTCTAGTGGTATACTGTAGGTCAAATTAGGATTGTGATTATTAGCTTCCAAATAGCAGCTTTCAGTTCTCCTTCAATGGATAAGGTAAAAAAAAAACCCAAGAAAAACTGATATATATCACAAAATTGTGTGTGGCAGGATGTGTTCTGCAATTGGAAGGTGCTGCTCTGTAATCTGTCACTGAGCGAGCAGCTCCTTCCTCCCAGGAAGGAGTGAATTAGTGAGCTGAAGGGAACGTATCGGTACAGTTAATCTTTTACTAAACCAGAAGTATTTCTTGCACAAGAACAGGAGAAACATCATCTTTTACCTTGTTTGAACGCTGTCAGCTGTTCACAAAGTTTTCATCATCAGCTCACTGTCTTGCAGTTTGATACCTAAGAAAATGCAATCAGAGCAATAACCCTGTGGCAAGGAAGGAAGGGGCAGGAAGAAGCAGAGGGCTTTACGGGAACCCGTGGGAGCAGCGAAGAGAAAGTGCTGCCTAAATACAGTGAGAAAGAACAGTGGAGCGGTATGGACAAGAAGGGGAGAAGAGCAGGGTTTACCACCGAAGTAAACGTGGTCCCAGTTTTAAGGATCAAAGCGTTAGTGGCCACATGGTCCCTGTGCCAGACAGATGAAACGCGTGCTGTGGTGGCAGACAC